ATCAATCTCCTCCAGATCATTTCCTGTCACCACTATATCATCCACATACACAATCGGAATTGACACCAGAGCATCTCTCATCTTCACAAAGAGGGTGTGATCAGACTGTGTTTGTGTATATCCAAAATGGATGAGTGCCCCTCTGAACTTGTCAAACCAGGCCCTAAGTGACTGTTTTAGTCCATATAAAGATTTTCTGAGTCTGCACACCTTTCCTTTACCAACATTTTCATAAAAGCCTGCTGGAATATCCATATATACCTCCTCCTGTAAATCACCATTGAGGAAGGCATTTTTGACATCAAGCTGGAACAAGGGCCATGAATAGGTGGCTGCTAGAGATAAAATGATACAAACTGAACTCATCTTAGCTACTGGTGCAAAGGTTTCCAAGTAATCAACACCATAGGTCTAAGTATACCCTTTTGCTACCAACCTTGTCTTGTACCTCTCTATCTTGTTATCGACCTTATACTTTACTGTGAATACCCATCTACATCCGATTGTCTCCTTGTCTGGGGGGAGATCAACTATTTCCTAAGTTTGGTTTTTGACCAAATCATCCATCTCATCTTGTATGGCTGTTTTCCACTCAGGTTTGGAGAGTGCCTCAGTAACATTCCTAGGTATAGACATAGAATCTAGGGAAGAAAGAAAAGCATGGTAGGAGGGTGATAAGGCACTGTAGGAAAGATAGTGTGAAATGCAATGGGGTGTACACTTTCTCTTCCCCTTACGAATTGCAATGGGAAGATCAAGATCAGTGGGATCAGCTGCAACAATCGTGTTAGGAACAAGAACATTATCATTAGAAAATATAACATGCTCAGGCTCAAGAGGAATACCTGGAACTGTATTTGCCGAATATGGAGTTTCAGAAGGACTGATAGAGAGTGGTGTGGGTTGAGGATGTGTGGAGTCAACCATCATCTGCCGGCGCTGATATTTTTGTGAGGCTGCCTGTAGAGGCTCAGGTAATGAAACTGGAGGTGCAGGTGCTGGTTGAACTGATGCAGGTGTTAGCTGAACTGATGGAGGTGCTGGCTGAACTGATGGAGGCACCAAAGAAACAGGAAGAGGAACAGATTGTGAGTTCTCCTCCCCAAAACTCTCTCCATGAGGAGAACCACTCGAGAAGAAGAAGGTGGATTCAAAGAAGGTAACATCCATATTGACAAATCTGCTCCTCGACACTAGGTCATAATAGCAATACCCCTTTTGGTTCTGAGCATACCCAAGAAAAACACATTTCTTGGCCTTAGGATCCAATTTCTTGCGATGAGGGCCAAGAATGTGAACAAAGGAAACACAGCAAAAAACCCTCACAGGTATATGAAATATCTCCCCATCTGGAAAAAGAAGACTAAATGGCACCTTAAACCCCAAAGCCTGTGAATGAACATGGTTAATCAAATGCACAACTGTAAAAACTGCATAGGAACTGAAACACACACCATAAGACTCCTTGCCACCTCCATAATGTGTCTGTTTTTCCTCTCAACAATTCCATTATGTTGCGGTGTATATGCACAACTGCTCTGATGAACTACACCATGTTCTAAGAGATACGTTGTCAGGTCCTTCTCTAAGTACTCTCTAGCATTATCTGATCTAAAAGCCTTAGTTCTCACTCCAAATTGTGTGAGAACCATCTGGTGGAACTATCGTACCAAGTTAGGAACCTCATCACGTGATCTCATCAAATATATCCAAGAATATCGTGTATAGTCATCCACAAACAAGAGAAAGTAACGGAATCCTCCCATGGAAGGGATATTATATGGCCCCTATACATCAGTGTGAACAATATTAAAAGCAGAAGTACTTTTATTACTTGGTTTAAAAGATTGTCTACAATGCTTTTCTAACTGACAACTCTCACACTCCAAAGTAGATAACTGAACAGACTCAAACAACTTTGGGAAAAGACATTTCAAAGAACTAAAAGAAAGATGTCCCAAGCGATTGTATCAAAGCATAATCTGGTTCACTAACTCTGACCCACTACTACTGCTGCTGCTAACATGATGGCCCTGATGTCTCGGAATCTCATCCAGAAGGTAGACTCCATTCACCTCATGACCACTTCCAATCATCTTCTTTGACTCCAGATCTTGCAAAACACAATTACCAAGAAGAAAGGTCACAGAACAATTCAATTTTTTTGTCAAAGAACTAACAGACAATAGGTTGGTATGAAGTCTAGGGACATGTAAAACAGAAGACAGAGTTATATCATTGGTCACTCTAACTGTCCCCCTCCCAGCAATGGGCATATGTGAACCATCTGCTGTAGAGACTCTGTCTCTACTAGAGCACAACTGATAGGAACTGAAAAGGGTAGGGGCATTAGTCATGTGCTCAAATGCTCCTGAGTCTATAATCTAGGGAGGTCCCTCCTAACCTGAAGTGGATGCAAGATTTGCAGTTGCATTAACTACTTGTATGTGCGAAGGAAGTGGTGTAGTTAGCTCCTGCATTCTGCTATCCATCTGGAAGGCTAGTGCTAGGTGAATCTTTCTTACTCATAAGCTATCTAAATCTCTCCAATTCTATTCTCATTGCTACTATTGCAATGGATTCCCAATCAGTTTGGGAAAGAGGGGCCGAAGAGTTTCCTGTAGTGGCTACATTTCCATTTCCCATCTTGTTCCTTATCCGAGTAGGCATAAGATTTGGATGAAGTTTCCAACAAGTGTCCCTAGTATGCTTAGGCTTCTTGCAATAATCACACACCAAGCCCTTCTTATCTTCCTTTCTAGTCTCACTACTCCCCCTGTCTCCATTCGGCTTAGGTTTTGTTGTACCAACCATAGCCGACTGGTCAATCCCA